AAACAGAACGTGGAGACAGAAAAAGATGGAACAGAGGCAGCAACGGCAGTCTTGTTGCAAAGTTGGGAAAGGTGGAGAAGGAGGAGGGGCCAACAAGTCAGGCAAAATCAAGGGAAGCCGGGCGAGGGGGTGGAAAATGCAGGCAAAAAGCGGGTGGAGGATTAGGTGGAGGGTACTTGACCCAAGACGCCTGGGCCTGTGGCCTCGGCGGATTGTTGTTTTTGTTTCTTGTTCTTGCATATTTGTCTGCGTGCTTCTTGGCTTGTTTGATCACTGTGCAGATGCTAGCGGGCACACAGCATCGTTCTCGTCATGACATATCACTATCGCCAGCGTGATCACCGGCAAGTTCGTACAGGACAATTGTGCTGATGTTGATGGAGAAGATGGTGATGATAGTTTAAGATGACGGTGATGATGATCCTTGCCTCTGCAACCATCGCCACCACAACGGCCTCCTCCATTGCAACCAAATTTTTGGTACGGTCGCGAGCACGCATGTCGTTATGGTCGTGATCGTCACCACCACCGAGCCTTCACCATCATCTCCATGACAACCATCATCATCGTCTCCGTCGTTATCGCAATCTGCAGTTCCACGACTACAATCACGGTCATCGTTAACATCATCACAATCATAATCATCTACATTTTCATATTAATTCTCATCCTCGCCATCCGGATCTTCTCATCAAAAGTCATCGTCGTCATTATCGTCATCGCCATCAGCATCGCCGTCATCGTCATCACAGTCAGCATTATGAACGTCGCAGTCCTCACCATCACCATTGCCATTACCATCATCACCATCATCACTACCATTACCATCATCACCATCATCATCATCATCACCATGATCATCATCATCACCATGATCATCATCATCACCACCATTGTCATGATCATCATCATCATCATTGCAACATTTTCATCTTCGACTTTTCTTTGTCGTCATCAGCATCGTTGTCAACATCGCCATCATCATCAGTAATCCTATCGTTCTTTCCTTCCATGATCGACGACACGACCACTGGCATCACCATCCTTGCGAGCACACACACCTATTCCCAGTTATTACCACTTACCTTTGTAGACATCATTGTCTTTTTAGTTGTTCCGGCTCTTGTTGTTGTTCTTCTCTATGTTATTGATGCTCCTTCTATTGGTAGTATTACTCGCATCCGCCAATTATTCTGAGTATGATGTTATGAGCCCTCCACCTACAGTTGTAAAGGCCCTTCAACCCTCGGGTGCAGGTTCCGTCCCGAGACTAGCCCCAAATTCCGTAAATTGGGTGCCAGGTTACGCGATCGAGCTCGCCGCTCCAGGCATGCACCAGCTTCAGGGAGACATGGAGTTTATAAGCGATGCAGCTCAAAGCATACAGGCCGAAGGGGCAGCTAAGAATTTTCGCAGGCCGGTCCCGCTTCTTCTAGACGTGGTGTCCAGGGCCTTTATTTGCATGTTGAACCCTGTAGCCGCTGCTGTCGTGGTATCTAGGCCCCTCAAAGCCGGCTTCAAAACAGTAGAAACTGCTTTGTAGGAGGTCACATGTTTCACTGGAAGACTCTTCACATGCCTTTCGTGGATTTTGGGGTTCGTTGTCACGTTCATGAACTGTGGTTCACCCTTGCACCCTCGCTCTCGTAACGGAGGGCATGTCCTGGCCTGCCAGGTGCGCCGTTCACGGAAGTGTTGAACGTAACCGACAGGTCCGATCCCAGCTTGTTCTAGGAACTTCAAACTAGTAAGCGCATGGCCATGTGCAGGGACACCCATTTCTTCCAAGGTTTGGTGCAGGAATCTTGAGGTGAGGAGTGCTGCTTCGCGGAGTTAGTGATGGGTAGTCTGCTTACAGTTTTACAGAGAGCAGATTTGGTATCCGCTGGCTTGGGAATACTTCTCTAAAATTGTCTTCCGCGGGCCCTAAACGACCCGAGGCCTCAAAGCAGCTCTTCAGACAGGATGGCCTTACTTACCGGGCTGCTCGGGAACACCAGTTACGAGGCATGGGCTCATCAGTGCGAGTACTTGGAGCCACACCATGATCTTCAGTGTTCACCGTGTGCGGCTCTTTATGCAAATTCTGCGTACGCTGCTAGCCCATACCAAAAGTGCAACCCTAACTCCCGCCGCGAAGCCCAGCAGGATAAACCCAAGTCTCACAGCATTGGCAGGTTCGGGTGCGGGCGATCGGGACCGGAGGCCCGGACTGGCTGTTTACAGTCCACGCTTCAGGTTCCGGAGCCCTCTCTGCTTCATGCGCAAAGAGCACATTGGCGTAATTGCCGTTGGATTTCTGCTTCTGAGACGATGCTGACCACTGTTGAGGCCATCTTCTCACTCATGTCAGCATCGTTGTCGTCATCATCAAAGTCAGTATCACCACCATCATCGTCATTATCGTCATCATCTTCATCATCATCGTTATCATCGTCATCGTCGCTATCATCAGCAACACCACCACCATCGTCGCCGTCCTCCTACTCCTCCTCATCATAATCACCATCAACATCATCACCACCATCATCGTCCTCCTCCTCCTCTTCATCATCATCATCATCATCCTCATCACCATCATCACCATAAGCATCACCATCATCACCATCATCGTCATCATCATCTTCTTCTTCATCATCATCATCATCATCATCATCATCATTATCGTCACCATCATCACCATAACCATCACCATCATCACCATCACCAGCACCATCATCATCACCATCATCATCAGCATCATCACAAAAGTCATCATCATCATCATCATCATCGTCAACACCAACATCAATATCAACATCACCAGCAGCAGCACCATCATCATCATCATCATCATCATCATCATCATCATATCATCATCATCTTCGTCGTCGTCGTCAGCATCGTGTCAATCACTCTGACTGTTGGGGTGGTCACTGTTACCATATTTGCGATCATTGCTGTGGCTGTGACTGCACAACAGCTTGCCCTCTTCTTCCGCTGCCCAGGCTTTGCTTAGACAATTTGCGTAGAACGTGTGGGCCAACACGCCACATTTCGCTTGTCACTTCGTTTTCACATTAAGTTCTTGTTGCTCTGCTTATGCCCGCTAACTGTTTGCTGGTGAGTTCATTGGTAGACGATTCATGTTTCTGGGGCTTCCAGTTTTTTTTTGGGTGAGGGTCCCTCCACGGGGCTCGGGGCTCGGGGCGGAGGTTTTAAGGCCTTATGGGAGGTGCATTGTCGGGCTCGATGCGTGTTGGGGGCTTGGGGTTAGGGGAGCTTGGGAGGCTGCGGTCAAGGGAAGGGTTCTGTTTTGTTGCGAACCGGATACTTAAGTTTAGGGGTTCAGGTTTGTGATGTCTGTGGTTGAAGGCTTCTTAGGAATTCCAGGTTTCGGGACAAACCTTGATCCTGTCAGGACAGCTGTAGGATGTCCACTTTGGATAGTAGATGCTTTACAGCTGAGGATTGAGGGCGTAGCAGGTAGAGTTTCATATTGGCAACTAAAGGTGAAACTTGAGATTGGGTTTCAACGAGATGTGTATCAACCAGTATATATATATATATAGATATAGATATAGAGTTGCGTGAATGTACAAAACAGAGCAAAACATGTAATGCATCTACATAGATGCGATGGTTTTGTTTGGGTGTTATTTTTCCTCAGTGGCTTTTTGATGCAGGACTTCGGGACTTGGGGTGCTAGCTGGCAGCTGCCTTGGGCACTTGTGCAGGGAAGTGTGGTCTGTTCATCTGGTTCAAGACACGCGGAAGAACCCCGAACCCCTGAAGCCCGGGCCATAAATCGCAAAGCCTGAAGCCTTATCTGAGAGCTGATGGCAGTTTTCATGCCGGAAGATGCGGGTTGGGGGCACCCTGCAGACGGCCCTGAGCCTGACAACTGGTGCAAGCCCTGAGATGTTGAAGCTCCAATCTCCAAACCCCGCTTCTCCGGGAACCCTGACCTTAACCTTACTCGTACTTAGGATAGCTGCTTTAGGATCGTTTGGGTGTCGAAGGCTTTTTGGGTTCTGATCCACATCACCAGTTCGTTGGTTCACCTTGGAGGAGGAGTAGGGCAAACCCTGAGTTCCACACCAGAAGGTATCTCCTATCCGGGTGAAGGAGCTACGGCGCAGCCCTCAGCCGTTGCTGAATGTTTTCTCCGAGTTCCCGTAAAGGTTTGAGCGCAAGGGCCACTGTACACGTCTATGACATTCTATGAGCACATGGCCAAAATAAAAACTCTGCAAAACTCACAAGCCATTCTGGGCCGCTTGGGGCTATTTTCAGGTATCAGTGGAGGCTTGATTAAGCTTCGGGGACAGTAGGAATGACAGGCTGTGTCCAAGGGGGGAGGTGACGCCTCCTCAAACCACTAGGCTCGCCCATGGAGTGCCACATCTAAGATCTAGTTTCCAATTTGTTGGCCACCCGACCTGGGCTTCCGACACAACTCAGCCGAATCTCAAGCCTCCTGAATTGCCCATGGAACTTGCTCAGGTCGTGACCGAGCCGCCAGTCGGGGTCCTGTGGGGAGGGGGATCCTGTCTTCCAGATAGAATGAATGCTACAAGGCGGCTGTTTTTGTTCATGTGCAGTTTAGTTTGTTCAATAGGTTCTGCATCTCCGAGCAGGGTCTGGCAAGTTTCTTCGGGGCTTGCCACCCTCGGCCCAAGCCCTGGACCCGAAGCCCCATCCGAACTTCCCAACCATCGGCCATAACCATAATAGGTGTGGAGTCGGTTCAATCGAACTTTGCTCGTGTTGCGTCTACTGGGCTCCTATTCTTCTCGGGGTAGTTCCAGCTTTGGAACGAGGGTCCGTGCTTCGAGGAGATTTTCCAGGTTTGGCGTTTGCCGTTGGAGTCGTTGGGGTTGTGGCATTGAACTGGTTATTCAATGCTCATCCTGCTCCGTAATGAACGCAAAGGTGCCATGTTGGGCAGCACTGGTTCATCCAATCACCCACTACCGCTACACTACGCACGAACAGCCAATTCCCCATTCAACTTGCTTTTCTGTGCTAGAAACATCGCACTTTCCCAGGTCGTCCCAGACGAACCGCAAGAGCTTATAGTGAACGTGGACGTTCCGTACATGGCGAGTGGCCCCAGTCTGACAAGCACACGCATATTCAGGAGCGTCAGACACTTTTCGGGTGCTGAGAAAAAGCCACCCCCTTGGGCCTCTTCGAGTTTGCAACGTCATCGCAAGACCTGGTGACGAACTAAGCCAAACCCAGCACCGGCCGGGTGAGGCTGACCTGAGCTGGATAGCCCCGGAAGATGATGGGGGCCGAGCCATCGAGGTTGGGGCTTAGCACCAGCAACGTCAGTGGGGGAATCGGCTAGGAAGTAGTCATACACTGAAGTGGTGGTATCAACAGTCAGAGTCGCCGCCGCCATCGTCATCGCCATCTTCATCATCGTCGCCGCCTTCATCACTACAATGATCAACGTCATTAGCATGATGACGACGATAATGATGGCGATGATGGTGAGGCTGATGGTGACCATTCCTCCTCCTCCTCCTCCTCCTCCGCCGCCTCTCCTACTCCTCGTCACTACTCATGTTCAGGATCTCCATCTTCATCATTTCCATTATCATCGTCATCACCATCATCACCACCATCATGATCATCTGGGTCATCTTCATCACATTAACACCACCACCACCATCACCACCACCATCATCATCATCATCGTCGTCATCGTCATCGTCATCGCCATCCTCCTCCTCCTCCTCATCATCATCGTCGTCGTCACCATCATCATCGTCGTCGCCGCCACCACCACCATCATCATCATCATCGGAATCATCAGCATCATCAGCATCATCAGCATCGTCATCATCATCATCATCATCATCATCTTCATCATCTTCATCACCATCATCATCATCATGGTTGTCGCCGCCACCACCACCACCATCATCATCATCGGAATCATCAGCATCACCAGCATCGTCATCATCATCATCAGCGTCATCATCATCATCATCATCATCATCACCATCACCATCATCATCATCATCATCATCACCATCATCAATATCATCATGGTTGTCGTCGCCTCCACCACCATCATCATCGTCAGCATCGGCAGCATCGTCATCATCACTGTTATCATCAGCACCACCAAGAGTGTCGTACGATGACGACACTCCATCGTCACCTTCTTTATGTCAGGAAGGACAGCAAGGTGGTAACGGGCGATGAGACGCATGATTTTCTAGAGTCTAGAGAAGACGACCAGCAAGAGATTGGAGGCTCTACAAGATCATAAGTCTCCGGGGCTGCATGAATCCATAGGTGGCAAATTATGCCTGAGATCCCAGCGCAAGTGAGAGCTTGCTATTGCAAGAATTCAAGGGCCATTGTGGCGCGAAGGATAAGGGAAACTGGTCTAAATGGATCGAGGATGTGGTTATGCCGATGATTCCCAGCTTGATGACAACGCTACTGGTGATATGAAACATGCACGAACGAAGAGGTACCATCGACGACAGAAATGGTCACAGTAAGTCCTGCGAATTCACCGTTCTATGTACGGCAGAAGGTACTCAACCTTCTAGCCAGAATTATACCGGCCATGGTAAAGGCTTGGCATGTGGCATCGCCGAAGCGAAGCAAACAATGACCATCCTAATAGCGTTGAGTACCACAGTAAACAGTGTTGTCACAGCAGGTGTCTGAGTGGCTGCAGGCTCTACGGTAGCGCAGTCTCGTTGCTCCCGAGATTTTCATTTTCACTTGCTCAACATCTGAGCCCTGCATCTCCTGTTCATGTCAGGCTTATGAGGTCTTCCTGGGCGGCGGGTCAGAAACTCTGCAACTTCGTTCTGTTCAGGCCGACCTGCGGATCGGGATTCTTTAGCAGGAAGGTTCCCACGCTCAAGCTCCCTGGGCTCATAGCTCTCAAGGCGTTTCAGGTTGGAGAGCAGGAGTTGCGACTTGAACTGGGAATCTGGCCGTGTTCTCGTCCAGGCATGTCATGCCCTAGACTGAAGATGAAACCAAACAGTAACTGAGCCGCAGTAGTATATCTACATGATGGCAGCATTGGCCGTGAAGATAGCGACGAGCTCCGCGAATCCCTATGTCACGGTGCCCCGCGGTATTCAGGCATAACCAGAGGTTGTCTCAAGAGCACCAGCCTGGTCGTAGCACCTGCGACGAATGCGAAAGATCCGTAAGGCACACGCGTGAAACAGGTATCCAAACCTAACGGAATCATGCGCGGCCAGTAAGTCAAGGAGCCTGCTTCTGCAGTGCCCCCGTCGAAAAACAGATTTTCAGAAAAGCTTGCTTCCAGCTTCCAACCTGCCCCAAACCAAGCACCTCCCAAGCCCAAATCCTAATCACGAGCCCTGAACCTGCTAGCAGCCTCAATCACTCTTATCCCCTAGGGTTGTCGGAGGAACCGTCGGCGTATCGAGCAACCGGTCTGCTGGGCTCCGCGAGCTACGAGTGCCCGGGCCGAGTTTGAGGTATGGGGGGCTGTTTGAGTCAAGACTCGAGGCCCTCCGATGCAGTTGCTTGTCTTTGATTACTCAAGTCCATTTTTGGTGGGAGCCGAACCGTCCAAACGCAGAAGTTCTCCAAAGCAGAAACCAGACTTAAGAGTCCCAGCTAAGCGTGGGAAGGCTTTCACATGGTCCAGTGCTTGGTTTGGAGATCTGCAAGCTAGGGCTTGCCGATAAAAGGCTAGGGTCGAGGTGACGACCAGCCGATCCGAAGGCGTGTTCACACATGTCGATAGGATGTAAACCTCAATTCGTTTGTGTGTGCGTTTCTTCGATCTTTCGAAGCAGCTACTCGTGCGCCGACATCCCGCTCTCGATGGTCTGACAGGGCAGATCAGGTCGTGCACTTGTATCCAGTGACGCCAACTTGTCAAAGGGCAAAATCACGGCTTGCTGAGGCTTGGTGAATGGACGCCAGTCATGGTTGCGAAGATTTCGAAGATGTTACTCTTTTGATACAGTATGCAGGTGCAAACGACACAGACCAGTCAGCAGTTAGCCGATCCGTCTCGGGTCCACTTGCCGTTCGGGAAGCTAGCGTTTCATCCGTGTCCGCACGAAACTGCAACACCCAAGTCCTGAAGTTGGAACACCGCGGACCTAAAAGCGTTTCGGTCCCCAAAGCACACACTTCAAGATCTCAGCACCTGAAAGCTTTTGAAAAGCCCCAGGTTCCGTGTGCAAGCTAAGAACGAGATTGGGAGGCGCGGCGGTAGATTTGGGTAATGATAAGACCAGCAATAGTATTGGCGCGAGAGAAAGGTAGTATCAATAGTCAAGAGCTTCAATAGTAGGTGCAACAGCAGCATCAGGAGCAGCATGCTCATAAGAAGAGCTGCCTGCGCTAAACAGTCTATGGCCTGGACAGGTCGCTTGAGTTTTGTCAGGGATGTGGCTGCTGTGAATCACGAAGTTGAATGAACGCTTGATTCATCTTCCGTGCACGCATCTTCTGCAAGATCTCCACTTGAGTGTTCGGAGTGGCCACACAGTGAGCTCGAAGACGTCCCGACCAAGGAGTCACAAGTTTGTGCTTTGGCCCACACAGTTACCTCATGGACCTGAGATCGAACGAGAGGTTTTGGCAAAGCTTTGTCCGCTAGTGTCCCCTTGGACGATTCCTCTACGAAGCTGCTCCCCAAGACGCAAGCGCCTGCCCCAACATCGCTGCCCAGAAGATTTGCTGCAACGAGGTCGCTGGCTGCCACAACTTTCTTTACCACACCGCAGCCCATTGCTCCTGCTGAGCCAGGCACCAGAGGGCTTCCAAAGTTTGGAATTTCAGGTTAGGTCTGGGCTGAGGATTTAAGGATTGCATGCCTTAGGTTTGTAGCAATGTGGCTTCAATTGAGACGTGATTGAGTGCCATAAATGTCATGGGTTTGAGCCGGGGGACCGTGCAACTACTCGTCACATTGGCAAGATGCTGGTGGTTGTGATGGACAAGATACCATGGTTTGTCCGACTTGTGCTGGGGCGCGCTATCTGTTCCTCGAGGGCTTTTCAAGAAATTACAAAGGTATCATCCGAGCACAATGGGACACACTTCAGGCCAAGTCGTTAGTTGTTCAACCCCTCCCTCCCCCCAATGACCCCAACGCTTAAAAATTGCACGCTGAAGCGGCACAAGACCTAAGTTGCGGGTCAATGGCTCCGGCTTCAATCCTTCGTAAATGGGTTTTGCATACTCCACGAACGGAAGCCTAAACTTCAAAAGGGGGAGGCACAGAGCGCACAGCTTCGAATCCTGCACGTTACCAGCTGCTTCGTGGAGAGGTGCCATCTCCGTTCTTTCTCTTGGGCAAGACAGCCGTGAGCCCAGCTGCCAGCAACGCAACTGATGCGGTCTAGGGTGTTCAGGGAGGGACTGTCAAGCCGCTTCAGCCAGCTTGGTTCTTCAAGGATCTTCAAGGCTAGTCGGTGCTGGCCACGACGCAACGCTCCGGTCGATGGCAGAAGAGTCACTTCCACTGCCGTTTTCCAGAAGCATCGTTCACGCTGGCACGCTTACGCCCTGCTACATCCAAGCCGCCCTGAACCCCAAGTCCCTGTCTGTGAGGCGCCAGCATTGCATGGGAAGCGCCGGCCAACGATGGTGGGAGCCGGCTGATTGCCTACGAGGTGCCCAGACGCGCATGGTGTGGTCGTAAGCTCGCGTCGCTTGGGGAAGCTTGGGGTGAACATGTCCTTGACATGACATGGAGCATCGTTTTTCAGAGCTATGTGGCCTTGAGGTGTGCGCGCGAGAGGAAGGGACGGAGAAAGCAAGCAAACAAGCGAGAGACGGAGAGACGGAGAGACGGGAGAGTCGAGGGTCAGACACTGAGAGAAGAAAAAGGGAGTGAAAGGAGAGGGCAGAGGGCGGGAGACAAGCGAGGAAAAGAGGGAAGTAACGGCCGTTACTGTGACCTTCAAGGGATCAGATTTCGGGAGGTGTGGTCATCAGCCGACTCTGCGGACTGGCAGCTCGAGGCCTCCTGCGGAAATTCGATTCAAAGATATTCAAAAATTAGAACTACTGTAGTACTTCGTAGTACTTCGTAGGAGTCATTGAGTCGTCATCATTCTTGCTTAGTAGTGCTGTATATCGTTGGTCCTTGCACGGCCTGTCTTCCAACTGACCAGTTATGGAGCGCTAGACTCGTGTTCCCAGCGCTGAAACCCTAAATACTCCGCGAGAAAGCCTGGGGAGCCAGTGGCGAGGAGTCTCGTTTGAAGCCGTCGGGTTTTGCATTCCATGGCATAGGCTAGGTAACAATTCAACAGGGTGAGCTTCTATTCTGCTTGCGGAGCGGCGGTTGCATCCCACCAAGGTTGTCCTTGCGCCAACAGGCTTGGGTGCCAACTTGACAGATCTTGTCGGTGACACACTCTACAGGCCGCCTGGTGCTGGTTTTGCAGTGTTTCTGTTGCGCTGCCTGCAATATGGGCTATCAGTCGCCAGTGGTTTATCCCACAGCATCGAAAGGTAATTGGTCCTTCAGAGCCAATGCAACATGCCAGTCACGGCCGACCAACCACCAGAGCACCACCAGAGCACCAGGCGCACCGCCACCACCAGAAGACAACTTGCACCTGCGCTGGCAATTCACGAGGACGGCGACGACGATAGTGGTGGTCGCCAGAATCAGACCATGCTTGAAGCTGTCCTAGACACCGGGTTGCCAAAAATAGACCCCTCAACTGAGATGCCACTTCATGACCGTGAGTTGTGGAGACTGAGCTTAAGAACACCACTCAGACACCCCTAAGCCGTGAAGTCTCAGCCCGAAAGACATCCTTCTTGTGGAGGTTTCGAGTGCAAGCCGCGAATGAAGTCGGATCAGGTGCGGATGGTTGCATCGCCTTTTGTGATGTTATGGCTTCGGGGTCGCGAGGATCCGCGGCTTTAAAATGAGTTCGAAGGGTTGAGACGCCGACTCCAACCTACTACGAACCGATGCTTTGTAAATCCTTGCTCCGAGGAGAATATACGACCGGTACGGAAGGGATGGGAACCTCCAAGCAGAATGGACATATCTTTGATTGCAACTGAGAGAATGGCAAGACAGCGCAGTGGTTGCATGCATGAGTTTAGTGGACTATGGACCGACGGATGGGTATGCGTGCGTGAGAAAGACGCGCGGGTACAGACGGCGTAGACTTTAGTCATGCATGGACAAGCGAGTGCCTGCGCCTGCCTGACGCAACGTGCGGCGTGCAGATACAGGTACATGGCGGTACAATACGGTACACGTATATGCGTACACCTGTGCTTGTACGTGCACTCCCAAATGTGATATGTGCGCATCTATATGTGTATGCACCTGTAAACTGCGTCTATGTGCTTGCATCTGCCCGTACGTAGACGAAGATGCATATACAGGTGTAGAGTCATATAGGTAGGTAGATAGGTGTGCCGGCATCTGTGCAGCTGCGTACGCAGGATTGTGTGTTGGCCGGCGCACAGATGGACATTTGCGTGCGCACTCTCTGTCGTGGCAGTGGGCATGCTTTTTGTGTGTCAGCCTCCCAAATTGCGATGACGAGCTTGCAAGTATATCTGCATTTGCTAGCTGATGTGCGCGTTCATCATCTACTTGCACATGCACCGCGCCCTTATCGACACAGACATGCTCTGCTAAAATTTGACATTCCAGGAGTGTGCGGAGTAGAGTCTCGACACTATTATTCGCATTGCCCCAACCTCGTGCCCCTGCTCCCATGAATGGCGATTAGCCGATAAAGCCATTGAAGTCATTGAAGAGAATTTAGTGTGTGGGTATTCAATATTTTCCGATCTCTCATCTCTCAACACTTCTCCTATCTTGCATGATCACACAGCAATGACCCCACCGTCGCCCCGCAGCCTCGGAGCGGCAAAGAACAACGACCTGAACCGAAAGGAACTGGAACAACGAGCCAACAGCCCCAGTACTTCCTGAGTCTGCGACTCAACCGTGAGTCTACAGCTTTCGTGTCTCAGTACCTACATGCTAAGCCCTCTACGTCCCAAGCATTGACACTGAGACCGATCCTATTCGTTGCGGAGGGCCCGCTGCCACATCTGAGTTCGTCTCGACGCTGCCCGTGCCGCCTTTCCCACCGAAGCTGCTTGACCTCCCGAAGCATAACACGGGGAGTTTGGGCATGAAGTTCGTGCTCTGTGGCTGGGGCACATTATTGTTTTCCCGGGTGTCAACATTGGATAGGTCGCCCACTTGGGCGAACTTTGTTTAGGGTTTAGGGTTTTAGGGTTTAGGGTTTAGGGTTTTAGGGTTTAGGCTTTAGGGTTTAGGGTTTGGGGGGAGGCGGGGGGGGAGGGGTGGGGGGCTTATGTTACCGTGCGACCGTGAAACAATGACCTCTCGTATCAACATTGGGCTTTCCGGTTCGGTCATTTATCGCCTCGACGCCTGTTGCGCTATATGGTTTGTCAAGCATCGGTTGAAGTGATGGGCTGATGCTTTGAGAGCAATCATGTCCTGAACCCGCATCATGCCGTGCACACATACACCCTGAGTGAAGCGATGCTGCAGCTTTGTGTGCCCAGGAATGTGACGTGCGAGAACATTGCACAGCATCAGCAGCTTGTATCCTGGTTGGCTCCTGTGAAGGCTCGGGGCTGAATAATCAACAGGAGGAGAGGGCCCAATGTTGGGCAAACGCATTGAAAAGGTGTTTTTTTAGGCTTTAGTCTTGGTTATCTCACACCTGCGCACTTCGCTGTTAGTGATGTCTTGCTGTTTCAGAGAACCCCCTTCCCTATGTTGCCATCACATCTTCCAGCGCTCCCAAACCCGAAGCTCTGGACCTTCGGAGACTCGAGGCTCCTGAGAGGCGTAGGTTCCCTGGCCCTGCAGGAAGGCGGCTTTCCGGTCACCGGCTACAGGACTCCGGGGCTCCGGAAGAGAAGAAGAAGAGGAGGGAAAAGGCAACGACGGAGACGAGCAGCACCTGAGGAGAAACGCAGTGGATGGAGAAGTACAATACCAGCGGCGGTCGATGAACAATCACAGGCATCAGTCGCCGAAGTGACGCAAGTCCATCTGCTAGGGCGGATGACGGCCGAGTGTGCAGGGCTTCCGCCGTGGAGAGAACACAGGGAGGCTGAGTGTGACAGAGAGGGGGGGACGGAGGGATTACTGTAGTTCAAGAATGTAACAACCCTTTCGCCGAAATCTCCACAACGAGACGACCCGGAATCCGGAGTCCGAGGGCCTGCGACCTTCCGCGAGGATCTGGCAGCGGGTTGGCACGGCCGAAGAGCTCGAAGTGGTGACTGGACTGGTCTGAGGAGTTTGTCCATGCATGGGCGAAGGATTCCAGGAGTTCCCGGAATTTCCAGAGCAAGTCTAAAGCTGTATGTCGATGTTATTGAGGCACCTGAACCCCGAAATCTGCAACCGCGACAGCTTAGACCGGGCCAGGCTGTAAACGACACGGGCAGCAATGACACGGAGTTCCCGGTCACGGAGCTGTGTGCCGGCAGGGTTTATTCGGTAAATTCATATTGCCTGGGGTCCAGTGCCACATTCAGGAAGGTCGCATGTCGAGTGCCGGTGTTCAAGTTGCTGTAATTCTGTCTTCACATACCTTCCTTGCAACACAGAGTTCTGACCCCAAAAGAACTGGGCCTGAAGGGAGGCCAAGACAGTCTGAAAAGGCAGCCATGCAGCCAGCAGTGACCGCTGCAAAATTCGATGGTAAAAGCTGGGCCTAGGAGAGTGTGTGTGTGTGTGTGTGTGTTTGGGTTTGTGTGTTTGTGTGTGTCAGGTCAGGGAACACTGCTTACAGCTACGTGGTCGCAGGCCTGGCAGCATACGGGCTTGGAAAGAGGAGAACTTCCTCAGTCCGGGGATTGAGGCTTTTACTGTTCTCCCGGCTTTGCCCGGCCTTAGCTGCGAAGCCGGGCAGGGCTGCGGCAGCCCTCGGCAGTTCGGCATTCGAGATCGTAGCTGATGCGTGTCTAATGGCTAGATCTTCGAAACCCCGACTCCAACCCCTGTGCCGAAAAGGCGTAGACTGCCCCGAGATGTTGATCAGGCATCAGCTGGCTAGGCGTGGGCTCCTGGAGTTTGGAAAGCGACTCTGCCGGGGACTCTGACGGCGTGTAAAGTGCACCGAGCCGAATCCTCCAACATTTGCTGTCGGGGAGGCACCTTGATTGAAAATTGCTACCAGATGCGACCTCCCACCCCCCCAGAACGGAATCCCTTGCCGACAATCCTCCAAAGCCCCAAGAACGCCGGGTCGAAGAGGTTTCATAGCTTTTGGTGTCGGGTTCGTTTTGAGGCTTTCGGTTTTTCGGGCCCAGTTTCTAGGGCGGCAGTTTAAGGCTCTGAGCCCGTTGGTGCCCTATGGAGCCAGTCCTCGCAGTGCGCAGTTTAGGTGCCGCATCCAGCTATGAAGAGTTTGGGAGTGGGCGACGAAAATTCATCGCAAAGCGCCTGCACCAAACCCGAGACTTCCAAAGCCCAAGCCAGACACACTGAAGCCGGAAATGCCCCAAACCGAGAAGCTGAAATCGGATCCCTCCGGCGTCCGAGATATGACTTTGAAAGGGTTGGGGGTTCCGGTTGCCAGTGAGTACGTAGTATAAATACATCCATCTGCATCCTTATCACAGCCCCAAACCCCACACCCGCACCCGGAAACCCGACGCTATAAGCCTGAAGCATTTGACGGGAACCCTGAACCCCAGGCTTGGGACCTTGCCGCCCAAAACCAGTCAAGACTCCGAAGTCCCGAACGGCCTGGATTTTGAGGTCCTCACTCTTCCAGTGGCGCCCTCGACCCCCGAGCTCGTCGCAGGGACTGTGTTTGCTTCACGCCTGCTTGTGAGGCGCAGCTACAGGGTACTTTTCTGGATTGCAGTTTTATGTTGTAGTGCATACTGGATGCAGGATGTTGACGCCGAGGGTTTTGTCCCGATTCGGTCCTGGAGCCGTTCTACGAAAGGCTATCATTGGTGTCTTTGGGATGCTGAACTGATAGTAAGGACGGCCTGAAAGCGACCTTGCTTTGGAACCACCTTAGTACGACCGGGAGCCTACGATGTTTTTGCTCCATCCAGGTGGGGATCTGATTCGGAAAGCCGAACGACTTCTCCTCTGGAGTTGCCAAGAGGGAAAGTTTGCTGTAGATTTTCGGAGGTGTATTGTAGTCAGTTCCGGGTGGGAGGGAGGTACTGTTTATGATGTCAGTGCTTTGGCATTTTTTGGGAGTTGGGACAGCGGTTTGCTGGCATTCGAGTTGTGTTTTGGACGAAGTGCTCATACCGGGTGTGTGCGGATACTGGAGCATCCGAGTTTTCCTTTCGGTTTCAGCGTAGCATGGAGAAGACACCGGAGCCCGGTACCCTGAAGTCTTAACCCTGGCTCTGACACATGAACTGCTCTGGATTTTCCGCCACGGGCCCGAAGCCCTGGCTTAAGCAGCCATGCACCCTGCATCCCCAACTCAACCCCACAATGTACATCTTGGTCTTCTCGCATCTCATCTTGTACTCCTCGCTCGGTGCTTCTGTTCGTCCTCTCTTATTGTAGAGCTTCTCTTTTCGGATTCTTCCGGTTCCTGCATTCTTGGAGTTTGGGAAGTCAAGCTCTGCCCTGGCGTCCGCAGGTGGTCGGCCCCCGAGGATGGAGGCTCTTCAGCATTCGGATGTGCGGCCTTCAGGGTTCATGACTTGGGTTTGTGGCTGTGCGGCCTTTAGGGTCAGGGAGGTAGTGTGGAGTTTGGTGGAGTTCAGTTTCAAGGTTTCGGGGTTTATGTTTCAGAGCAGGTTTCAGGGTTTCGGGGCTTCGAGCTCTTGGCGTAGCTTCGTAGGAGTTGACAGATCGGGCTTCCAGGGTCGCGATGAAGCAGTTATCGTTGATTGGGCTGTGGTGACTTTCGTGTCTGGGGTTGATTGTTGGCTTCTGGGCTCAGCGTATGGAACGGGATGCCGGTCGGGGGCTTTGAGGTTTCACAAGCCCTGGGCAGGTAGCGAAATCACCTTCTACACTGCCGAGGTGTCCGAGGATGGGATGTCGCAGCATGGCTCAAGCCCTGTCGTCTTTCGGGGTGTCATTTCGGAGGTTATGCTCCCGAGTGTGCTCCCGACCTCTCGAAAGCACCCCTGCACTCGACGACACCAGTGCAGGAAGCTGCCGATTTCCGTAGCTTCAGCCGGAGAGTAAGGTACCTACTTCAAGCGAAAAAGGCCTTATGGGAGCGCCGCACCCTTGTGCAATTGGCTGATGCAACTTCTGACTCTCTTTGTCAGTTGGCTCAGCACGTGCGAAAGTAGGGCCATTGTAAGCTGGTTCCGTGTCGAGGACGGGAAGGAGGGCCTAAGTAGGGCGGCTGTCCGTCTCAAAAATCTACGCAGCCATCTCCAAAAGACGGCGGGGGAGGATGGATTCTCTGACAGCAGTCGTGGGTCCAGAAGTCGCTTTGCAGCCGATTCTGTTGTGAAAATCTCTCCACTTACTTTCCTGCAGCTCTGTGTGGGCAGCAGGGAGACTTCAAGAGAGGAGACTGCCTTGGGAGCCATTGTGTAACACCTCACAACGGAGCACGATTGGAAGTGCATAGGGCGGCTCTCAATAGGCAGAGCCAAGTAGCTGTCTCCTCAAGATCTGGAGGCGCTCGGGATAGGCTGAGCCAACTAGCTGCTAACTAGCTATCTCCGCGAGAAATTTAGTCGCTCGGGGCCAATTGCTGAGGTTCTGTTTCCAAGTCCTCTCCACTGACTTCCCCGCAGCTCTTTGTGTGGGCAGCAGGGAAACTTGAACAGAGGAGACTGCCAAGGGAGGCTTAGCGCAACGCTCGAATGCATCAACCGTTCGAAGCGTGTAGGTTGCCTCTCAGCATCACTCATGAATCATAAATCATGGACCCTAGAACACTTTCACTCCGGCTGCCCACTGCCCCTCCTGCTGCCACTGTCACGGCCACTACCACTGCCACCACTGCCACTGCCCCTCCAACATCCGCTGCCGCGAGCACTGCCACCACCAGTGTATACCACTATACCACTATACTATACTATAATATACTACACTACACAATACTTGTGTCTAACTTCACCACTACAACTACCACTAAACTGACTTTTCCTCCACCACCATCATTACCGCTATCACTACCTCTACCACGACCTCTACCTCTACCACGACCAAGACCACTACCCACCACCGCCACCGCCACCGCTACCGCCACCGCTGCGGCCACGGCTACCGCTAACACCACTGCCGCTATTACGCGAACAGACAATAAGCTAAGTTTAAACGTTATTGCAGCAACAGTAGTGCTCAGAGTTGAAAGCGCGCTTGTGGTTGCTTTTTGTGGTTGTGAGCAGTATTGGTATCGCCACTTTTCGCAGTCTCGGCTACCTGAGGTTCTCCCTTGCTGCAAATGTCACGACCACGGACGCAGAGATCAAGCATCTTCTTGCAAACACCACGTGCCCTGTCAAGGGACTTGCAGGTGGCAAAACGAGTAGTTGTGCAGATCGTTGCAAGAATTCAGAGTGGTTGTGGTAGCCGCGGCAGTCGCAGTCAAGTCGTCATCAGAGCAGCAGCAGCAGCAGCAGCAGCAGCAGCAGCAGCAGCAGCAGGAGTAGTAGTAGGAGTAGTAGTAGTAGTAGTAGTAGTAGCAGTAGCAGTAGCAGCAGTAGTAGTAGTAGTAGTAGCAGCCGGAGTCACGGTAGTGACAGTAGTAACAGTATTAACAATCGTAACGGAAGCA